ACTCCATGTTCTGTGGTTGATAAACAAATTTAGAATCTTTTTCGCTGTGGGTTTTGGTGCCACTTTAGTGGATTTCTACTTTCCTGATAATATCACATGGCAAATAACTTCATCCTCAGCACAATACGCAAGTGGGTAAATAGTATTACAATCTTTTGTTCTTGCAAATCATTTGGTGGCAACTGTTACCCTTTCCACCAAACGCCAACCCACTTGCACCCCGTCAACTCCAAAGTTAACAAACTGTGGAGTTTCATCGTGATTAAGTATTTATTATACAGTACCACACTCCTTCCGAAGTTTTTTCACCTTATTCCAACCTACCTTTATACCTTTTCTTCGTTATACCTGTGATTTTAAGTTCGTCGACTAATTCATTTAAATGGCTTTTGTTTGCTTTCGTTGCCATTACTCTAGTGCAGGTTAAAGCAATGTTCATAGAAACTCTCCCTTGTCTCTTTTGAGTTCGACTGGGGCGATTTACCATGAATTTTGACCAGAAATAATGTGATTTTGTGAGTATTGCTCATAAAATTACTAAACTCACAAAATATTCTGTACTAAAAACAATTTGAATTTCAGTAAGTTAATTCGTTTAACCATGCAATTATTTACATTGTTCACGACATGTTTAAGGCATTTGATGAAAAAAGATTTTACCCACGGAGTTTTTGTAGAACAAAATTTGATACAGTAGATCATGTCATTCTTATTAAAAACTAGAATACTATGGTACTAAAAACACATTCTTGGTCAAAAAATGTCTAAGAAATAGAAAACAATACATCTTATATGACGAAGGAAAGCCAGATTACTCAACAATCAATGTAACGGAATGGTTTAAGGCAAACAAACTGTCCTTAAGTATAAATTAAAAAATTAAATTTTTTTTTCATAGACTTCACGAGTAAGAAAACATAATTAGAGAGCAATCATTGAAGTTTTTAGGCGTAGTTCTTGACGAAAATATTGAGAGAATATATAAGCACAATATAAGATAAAATTTCTGAATATATTGGCATCACATACATAATCCTAATAATTATCATATTAAAACTGTTTAAAAATCTTATACTTCGTTCCCCTTGCATTGTTACTTAAATAATAAGCCAGCTCTAAAAAAGTAAGGTTTAAAAACTCTTAAGTAGACAAAAACATGCTGTCGTAGTTATTTTGAATACAAATCGATTCGCACATTTTAAAGATCTATTTAAAGATAATAACATAATGTTTTTCAGTTAAACACTTATCAAATTCCAGTTTTATGTACGAACTTGAGGGGAAAATAAACAATGATAGTTAATACACTTTGCAATAAAATTAATTACATGTACTCTTAAGATTTTCAAATTGCATCGATAACCAATCTAATAATATTAGAGATACAGAGAACTTGGTAGCCAAATAATACATATTAGACTAATATGTATTATTAGGCTAATATGTGTTATTATTAGGCTACCAGCTCTCTATTACCACTAGAGATTCGAAATTATGAAATACTTTATTCCAATGACTTAAAATATTGTTTTTCTTTTTTTTATATATAAACAAAAAGTAAAAAAAAAAAAAAATTTTTAAATCTCTTATTTTTTATTTTGAATTTTCTTAAAGTCATTTTATTAACTTATCTTTGCGTTTTCATATACAGAAAATGTTAAGATAAGTTCATTTACTCAGTATTGTTGGCCCATCACACTAGTTTTTGAAAAGGAATTTAATAACTAAAGAAGTCAATGATTCAAGTCAAAAAATTTAAATTCTTGCGTTCAACAAAATATCTTAAGGAGATCTTGGCATAAAAATAATACCAACTATGATACTATGCATAATTGATGGAAAAGTGTGCAACGCGCTATCATGCTCTTCTGAATAAAGCTGCTACTATATGGCGAAAACCTTATAAAATGAATAATATAAATATATTATCGAAAAAAAAAATAGGTAAGAATATCTTTTCCTTGGATTTTCACTTTTAATTTTAATTAGAAATTTTAAATGTGTTTTTCTTATTTCAGACCATTTGTATTTGGCAAGCAGGAGGAAATGAAAATAAAGTAAGGGTGAAAAGAAAAAAGTAAGAAATCCATGAAAAATTGGAAGATGAATTGAATTATTTTAATTGGTGTACCCAAACAGCAAACTGGAAATGAATTGTTTGTTTAAGAAACCCATCAAATTTTTTAATTTTCAAAAAACTAAAAAAAACTTTCCAATTTAAAAATTAGTGAAGGTTATGATTTAGGAAAAATTTCAAAGTACTTCTTATTGTATTACATAAAACATATAATTCTTAGGGTAATTTTGAATTTTTTTTTTTTTTGCAAAACATTTTTTATACTTTTGTACTTTGACGGTTTTTTGCAATAAAAAAAACTCTTTGCCAAAAAATTTTTTTGACCTTAATATTGATTTTGAAAAGCAGTTATATATCGAAAGTAAGAACTATATTATTTCTTTGTTTAAATTTATTAATAATCAAAGAAAAAAGTAAAAAAAATCAGAAAAATAACGAATACAAAATAAAGAAATAATCGAAGAAAAATGTTATAGCAAAAAACATATTGTCTATATTATAAATATAGGCTGAGCCGTTATTTGAGTTTTTATTCTACTCATTGTCATACACAACATCTATGTTGCAGTCGACTTGGTTTGTAGGTCCTTGGATGATTTTATTATAAATATTTTTATAGCCTGTATTATACTTTTTCAGGTCATTAATTATCTTTTTGTTTATCTCTATCTTTCCAGATGGTTAGCCATCACTATCGAGACCTCCGGAGCTAGATTTTATTTTTTAAATGTAAACATTGTAGATGTGAAATTGTCAAAAAAGTGCTTAATAACCACTTGTTTCTGTCGGTTTTGTTTTAATAAAATTCTTTAAAGGTGGATACTTTCAAAAAAAAATCTCCCTTTCGAATTGATAGAATTGATAGTGTAATCTGAATTGAGAGTCTTCTTGCAAAAATACACATAGTATTAAAAGCTTAGATCACTTTGATTTTTACTTAATGAACAGTAAAGTAACCTAATTTACTTGATTTAAAAATCATCTCAACATACTGATTTGGCATGTAAACTCTAAAATTGCCATCTAAAGGTAAGAATTATTGGTCCTTAAACTCATTAAAACTCATTTAGAGATTTATTGGTCTTACTTTCACGGTTAATGTACATTATACAAAATACATCAGACCTTTCGCGACTGACTCAAAAAAAAAGCTGACTGACTGAGCGTAAAATAACAAATTAGGATCATGATCAGTTAATAGAATAAAATTAACTACTAATCAGAATTTAACAAATATTTTTTTTGTTGAAGAGTTGGCTTTCAGAATATTAAAAAAATTTGAAATTTTCATTATTATCTTACGTGATCAAAATGTACGTGATCAAAAATGTACAATGTTGAAATTAGCAAAAATATGTAATTTCTTTATGTAATCTTAAATAAATAAAGAAGAAATACATAAACCTTACATTTTCGATATTAAATAAACGAGACATTTATAGTGGCGATATTAAATAATATCGCCACTATAAATAGTTTATACATGGCCTACTTTATACCTACTGTATAAAATAGGCCATGGGCGATATTAAATAAGCGAGACATTTATTGTGGCGATAAAATAATTAATATCTTTACAAATATTATTGAAAAAAAACATCTCATATATATTAGTGAATTTAAACTATTTTTAGTCATTTTTTATAAATGATTTTTAAGCGATCTATAATTGCAATTAACATACAGTTTGAAGCATTAACTTAAGAATTTATTCACATTTCAAAGATAAATTTAAAGTTTTCCCCATTCGCTATAAATGTTTTGAAACATTAAAATTTGTTTATAAACCGCCATGCGGGTCACTTGTCATTTAGAAACAAGTTTTATGAACCACCATACGGGTCACGAAAAGGTTAAACCACAGTTATCGCATATAAAACACCTTCTGCACAGATATTTTTAAAAGTGGTAAATTTTGCATGTAGTCAAAACAAAGCACCATCATATTTTCATCAGCGTTCTCAATCATCTTTTGTTCTCTACATCCAAATATTGATTTATCTTTACACCATAATGTATCCTGCACTTTAAATTGTGAAAAATGTTCAAGTGGATCAGCACACTTGTATTGCCATCAATTGCATTTCCACCACAATTTTTGCCTCTTGTATTGAAAGGTTTTTGACTCCGCAGTAATAAGCTGCATATGCTTGTAACTCGATCTCGAAAAAAATGTGTATTTGTAAAAAAAATATTTTTCAAAACTGGATAAAACGTACTCTTGATTTTTATATTGTACATAATTGTTTTTCTTTTTGTTTGTGGGGTTTAAACATAAAGCAGTATCATCTGGGTTTTTACTTTTTTTACATTTTACTACGTTGCTAATGGTTTAAATACTCCAAAGTAGCATAGCTTTGTTCGTCGCAAGGGTTGCGTTTTAAACTTGTTTGAAAATCGGGACATCATGATGGAAAAGATTCATTGCAGCCACGCTGTAGACGTCATATAGAAAGACTTTTCAAAGACGTAGCAAAGTACCGTATAAACACCATCTTCATAAGTTAAGAGCTTACGGTATTCAAGGCGCGCTTTAAAAAAAACAAGACCTTGGTGTAATGGTTTCCAATGACCTCATCTCATTTACATTCGCCCCCACCTTGAGTTTACTGTGGTTGCCGGATTTAAAGTCCGACATAGCTATCCTCGAGCAAGTCCAATTTGAGTAACAAAAACATGATATATTAAAAAATGATATATTAAACACCTGTCCGATGAAAATCTACTCCAATAGTTCGGTGTTTATAGTTGCTATTAAGTGTAACAACACTTAATAGCAATTTAAAATCACGCGTCAACTCGAACTTGTCAGTTTTTTCGTCCCGCAAAAACTTTCAAACAATAAAGCCAAACTCGTACGAAATAATGAAGAACGACAAAATAAACTTTATAAACTTTTGGTATTCAAACCCAGTAAATTTCTAATAAGTTGTAAAATCCAAACTCTATCATATAACGAGGTTTTTGCTGAAATTGTTTTGAATAGAGTCTGGCAACAAAAGTCCCTTAAAGAGTAGGTATGGCACGTCTAACTGTGAGTAAAAATATTTTTTTCAAAAAAAAAAAAAAAAAAAATTAAGTTACTTTAATACAAAGATTTTCATATAAAGTTTCGAGTTTTAACTGTACCCAACCCTAACATTTTACATCTTTGCCTAAAACATCATGCAAATATCAACCTTTAATGCTGACAAAGAATGGTAGGAAATTAAAGTAACCATCGTTTAAACCGTGTAGGCCCCACATTTTTTTTTTAATTTAATTTTTTTACTTTTTTCTTGAAAAAAAAGAATTTCTAGCGTACGGAAAAACTAATAAAAGCGGTGTAAAACAAAAAATTTAAATTTATCAGTTAACACTGGCAAACACATCAAAAATGTTTTAAAATGATGTATTAATGTCGAGTTAATGTCAAAAAAATAAATTTTATTAAGTTAAAATGTTAAGTATGAAGAAATTTTACTTGCAAAACATCAATAAAGCCAATATTAAATTTTTTTGAAAATTCGTGTGTTTTATAACAAGTTTCTCAAATTTTCTTGTTAGTCAACCATTCCCTCTTATTTTGAAAATCTGATCACCGCCTGTGTATAGTTAATAAAATTGTTAAATAATTTATTGTTAAGAATACAAAGAAATCTGCTTTAACACATGATGATATTTATTTAAAATTTTTACAGACTCATTTTGTTATTTGTGTTACAATGCATGTTACAGGTACTAAAGGTGTTTGAAATACCAGCTAAAATTTATCAAAATGTGTTCTTCGTTATGCTTAAGTAAAGTCATAAAATATTTCCTGTAACTCTCAAATTCGTTTTATTGAGAGTTTTAGGGATATTTTTAGGATTTGTATAGGATTGTTATAAGACAAGTTTCGCTTTTTTTTAATAAAGTTGGAATAATAATCAATGATTGTTATTCCAACTCAGTTGGAATAACAATCAAGTTTGAAATAACAGTTGCCAACAACAGTTGGCAACTGTTATTTCAAAATCATATTTCAAAAATACATAAATAGTTAAATCATTACTACTGCATCAATGTATCGTTAATAATTATAAAAAAGTTTAGTTGTTTATGAAATTATTTAAAAAAAATTTTAAAACAATAATTTTCTTACTTATTCTTTTAAAAACAATAACTTTTGCTCAGTATAACATTTGAATTTATATGCAGCTTCTTTATTTATAATTTGTCAACTGATTCTAGTTAGTGGTTTTTGGTGAGTATGACATTAGATATCTGCTTATTAAAATTTAACATAATATATTAATATGTTACATATTGATAGATTATGTGTTCAAAATTTGATAAAAGTTAATAATTAATATGATCTCAATAAACAGTACTGACAAAACTAATCTTTAAAATTATTAAAAAATTAAATGCAGTAAGAGATATTATTAGTTGTTTGTATGTAATAGATAATAGTTAATTTATTTTTATGTTTATCAATAATATGCTTAATCTATTTAAAAACTATATAAGCAAGTTCATAGTTAAATAGTCAGCTAATTGTTAAAATCAGGAATGTATTAAATTATATTTTTGTCTAAGACAACACAGACACTTGTAAATGGTCTAAAATATGAGCAATCAAGTTTAACAACAACAAACGCAAATTCATTAAGTATACACTTGATAGAGATTTTTTTTTAGTATGTGTCTTCAAATTATTATTCAAAAATTATGTGTTAATTAAAAAAATAATTGTAGAAATATTTATAATTAAGCATAGTCTTGTTAATAATTTGTTTTTTTCTAGTTATAAATTTTGTGAGTTTTAAACTTAGTAAAAATGAAACTTGCATCACGAGAATCTGTAATCCATGTTATGCAAGCTGCTGCAGCATTAGGATGTCAATGTCCTGCTCACTCTCAAGCATATTCTGGCCAAGTATCCCAAAAGTGTAATCAATAAAATTTATTTATATACTATACTTAATAAGTTAGTTATTAATTATACTTCTTTTTTCTATTTTTCTTTTTCTAGAATAATTTTTTTAACCATTTATTATAGCAAGTAAAAACAACACAAGCGGGTTAAAAGAATATGCTGTAGAAGTACTTTTTATTATTACTAGTTACTATATATTTTTTTTTAGTTATTTAAATGCTTTTTTAATAAAATATCTCTCCTAGATAATAATGATAACCTAAAAAAAAAAAAGATATTTGTATCCATTTGATAACTTTTAAGTTTATAGAATTCTATTTTGATAATAATTAATAATATTAGGCATTTATTGTTTGTTCAGATGGCTTGTTCAAATATTCGATATGGAAAAGGTGTTACAGCAGAAGTTGGGATGGTATTTTTGATTTTTTTTTTAAATGAACAAAAACAGAGGTGTATGATTGAATGTTTTTTTTAAATACATACTCTAATATAAGAAGTAAAATAAAATCATATTAACAACTAGTATACTCAAAATTAGCTTGTGTTTTTTTTTTACATAAGTTCAAAACAACTTCATTGTGCTTTTATTTAAAATAATGTTATTTCAAATGTTATTTCAACTATCTTCTTTAACTTTCCTTTTTTTTTATCTTTATTTTTATAATTTATTCAGGATTTCAAGAATTTAAAGGTGAAAAGTGTTGGTGTGTTTACAGATAAAAATGTAAGTACAAAAATTAATTAATTACTTTGTTTATATACTTCATGTGTAATAGGTTTCTAGAAGTCTTATCAAATACTCTTCCTGACATATGAAACCTTTATTATATTAACTGCATTTAAAACATTTTTAATTGTTTTGATTAGATCTAAAAGTTAAGGTTTAAAAAGCAGTAAGGTAAGCAATTAACAATGTATCACAATCCATTTTGAGAGCAAACAATCTGGGAAACAAATTTATTAACTTGGGAGCAAACAATTTTACTAATTATAAAGTTCTAAGTGAATTAGAAGCTTAAACCTGTTTTTACTTACTGCTAATAATAATATCAATAAATCAATAACAGTCAAATAAGTAAGCTAGTTGCTGATAGTATTTTACGTCTTCCGTTTCCATAACATTTAAAGTTTAAATGGCAAAATGGAAGTCAATATCTTCCTAATGTGGCATAAAATTCTGTTGATTGGTTTGAATATAGAAATGGTGTTATAATAGCATCAGTGTCCCAATTGATGGTAATGAGGCAATTCAGATAGTTAGGGACAGGCTATCTATAAAAAATCATGCATCCACTTATAGTTTATGTGTAAAGATCTGTGAACAAGCTGAAGCTATTTCCAGTAGTTCATTATACTTGGTAAGAAGAAATGAACTTTTTACTGCTAAATGTTATGTTTGAGTAAAAAAAAGTTTATATTAAAAATTTAGTCGTGATAAAGCATAGTTAACAATCCGTTCTGAATATATTTTTCTAGGTGCAAGTTATGATAGAAATATAAGTTGTACTTGCTGTGGATTTGGTTTGTTAGAATGCAAATATCATTTTTTAGCAAGAGATTAAACAATTTAAGAATTCCTTTTTAGGCCTTCTTGTTTTATAGTAAAAGTTATGGAATCCTTGCAATCGGCATTATTATAACAAAGTTCAGTACCAAATGTTTTTTACATGTGTCAACTATTTTTATTTAAAAGTTTTTTTTACCAAAAAAGTCTTGCATATTTTGTCTTTCTAAGGATCCAATTTTTTTTAATTGCATACCAAAATTAGTTGCAACGTTATGCTTCTACATCTTTTCAACATAGATAATCTCTGAACCACTATTACATGCAGTAAAACCATCCAAAGCGTAGTTTTACAAGTTTAAAAAAGAAAAGCAATATAAAAACAGCATTAGAATAAAAATAGTTAGCAGATAATTACAAAATGTTTCTTAAAGACTCAACACCATCTTGTTTTATCAAAACAGTGTTTTCTGAGAGAATTGTTCTTGGGACAGGCATACAAAATTTTTGATTTTTGAGTTTATCATACTAAAAATTTATTCTCAAATTATAAAACCAGGAGTAAATCTTCTTGATACATTGCAATATTCAGTGATAAATTGATCTGATGAAGATCCAAAAAAAGTTTTACATAGAAAGAAATAGAATCACCTTACAAAGTACAAAAGATTAGTATTTTAATGGATTTCTAATTATAAGAACTTATGTATAATATTGAGCTTTATCGTTAGTAGATTTTTGATTTGCTCAGTAGAGTCACCAATGCCTTCAACATAAACAAAATCTCTAATAAAATAAAGATCTGTAAAATTTAGTGTTTCTTTTGGAGTAAACCAATGGTTCAATTTCTCAAGTCAATAATATTATAACTGTAGTCAAAATTCTGAATGCACGACTTGTTGTAATTTCAAAACTAAATGATAAATCTTGCAAGTCAAATACGCATTAAAGTAAACTTTTGTCTCAACCAAGATATTGTCCTGCTAAACCAGGTTTTCTTCTACTTAAAAGGTTACTAGCTGGACTAAATTGATATTTTTTGGCTGGAAATAAACATTTATGAATCTTGGAGAAATGGAGAAAAAAAAGTTGACTTTAACACAGCTAACAATATATGAAAAAGAATTTAAATGGATACAGTTTTACTTTAGATAAAGAGCATACTGCTTCCCATGTTAATTCATGTAAAACTACTTTTTTTAGTAAGTGTTGTTAGTGTACCAGTAATCAATTTAAGATGTTGTATAAAATGTTTCTTATCAGATGCTGTTTATGATGTTGATGATAGCTCCCCCCCCCAACTTTTAAAATATTTCTATTGATTTCATTACCATTCCAATTCTGGCTTTCTTAGCTCCCCTTAATTTCTGTTTCAGCCCATTCCCTTAACATACTTGACCTTCGCCACTGCATAGAGGAGGAGACTGTGACACAGAAGACTGCTGCAGAAAGTTGTCATTATTGTCACTGCTGCTAGCATTGACTTGTAGCAGTACTACTACTATTATAGAATGTGTGTTTTTGCTTGAAGAATGTGTGTGTGTTTTTTTTTCTCATAATGTATTTCCTAGTATTTTATGGAGTTTTTGACATTTATCTAGTTACTAATGTTTTGTAATGCTTCTGATCTTTCATATAGTTTCCTGGCTTTGTTTTAAATAAAAAACAGCATAACACATTAGCTTGTCATGATTTTGGTGTCATAAAATTATCTTTATTAATTTATTTATTTAAGGACATTAACTTTTTTAAGTACTGTAATAAAATAAATTACAGCAAAACAAGTTTATTTTATTAAGAAAAACAAATAAAGAAGTATTTTCTGAATTTATTGTGGAATGTCTATTTTGTTTCAAATTTTTTCATTTTTGTTTTTTAAGACTAAGCAATTAAATTTAATATTAAATTTTTTATTACTATTTAATATAAATTAGTTTCTTTTTTTTTCTCAACATGTGTATAAATAAATTAAAATATCTTGGTATTTTTTTTTTCATTATTTCTTAAAATTCCAACATTGCAAATAATGATTTTTTACTTTTAAGAAGTTATTAACAAACACAAAATATTACTTGTTGCAAAGAAAAAAACTAAAGTTAATTACTTTACTAGCACTTTTATTTGTGACAAAGATTTAAGCTTCCCATTTATTTAAAAATGTATATTGTGGTGGTTTCACTTGCATTAAGCAAAAAAGTTAAATGTACACTTTATGAATATTTTTGATGCAATGTTATAAGTTAAAACATATTTACAAAGTATTTAATTTTTTGTAAGAAATAGAAAAAAGGAAGAAGAAAAATCGAGAAAAAAAAAAATCTAATTTTTTCAAATTTAAATAATCTCTTTATTCAAAATTCTTTCTAAATTATAAAGAAATTTTTATTTCTACTTTTTTGATATCACGCAATCTTTTAATTACATACAGCTGATGTTACTATTACAAAATATTATTTTTTTAAACTATTATTTTTTGCAAAAAAAAACTTATAAATATAAACGAAGACATTGCAAGAGTTATATTGCTTTAAGAGTAAATTCAAGCTAAAAATAAATAATAAATATATAAATAAAAATAATAGAGTTATATCCATATAAGAGTTTTTAATTATAAAGAAATAAACTCTTTATAAGATGTCATTTATGATTTCTTATTTTTTTAATAAAATCACATATATATATATATATATATATATATATATATATATATATATATATATATATATATATAATATATATATATATATATTTGCAAAACATTCTCAGTTGGCATAAGTATGAACATACAAAAGTTTGGAGTTTGCAAAATGTGTGTAAGTGTCAAAACTCAAACATCTAAAAATCCAGTGTACACCACTCAGTGATGTACAGTGACTGTATATATATGTATATATATATATATATATATTATATATATATATATATATATATATATATGTATGTATACAGTGACTGTATATATATATATATATATATATATATATATATATATATATATATATATATATATATATATATATATATATATATATATATATATATATATATATATATGTATATATATATATATATATATATATATGCATATATATATATATATATATATATATATATATATATATATATATATATATATATATATATATATATATATATATTACTCATTACATGTAACCCAGTACAATCTGTTTCATGTCCTGCTGCCCCGTAGGATACGCCTTTAAGGGAAAGGCTAGGAGATGCCAACTCCAATATAAAACACCCCCTGGCTTAGGGTTCTTGGTTAAGTAAAGGCTAGAGATGGTGTCTCGATAAAAAAAAACTCATCTTGGGCAGACGTTATATGCATCCGGCTACTGTCTTATAGAAGGCCTCCTAGGCAAAGGCTTAAGGGGTAAACAGATTCTATCTGTTGGCCAGCCTTGCACCCCTTCTTCATCTATTAGACTGGCGCATATGTATCTTTAATACATTGTTTCCAGTTTAGGATCTTGAGTGCTGGATCTTCTTGACTCGATGCATTGGTTTTGCTTGTGTCTCTGTTTTTATGACTAGGCAACTCATTCTATTATCTCCATATATAAATATATATATATATATATGTATATGTATATAATAGGTTAATATATATATATAAATATATATATAGTATATATAAATATATATATATATATATATATATATATATATATATATATATATATATACACATATCTATATATGTATATATATATATATATATATATATATATATATATATATATACTCTTGCACGGTAGTTAAAAAGAGTTTCCCATAAACTATAGTTTTAAAGAGCGCGTTAATAAACCAGACCAGAAAAAGTTTAAAAACTTAAATTTTTTTTTTTTAAATGATAGACTGCCTGCCCAAACCAAACCCTCAGTAGATCTAGCAGCACTCCCTTGCGAGTCAGGCTATTTGTCAGTCAATGTAGCAGCACTCCCTTGCGAGTCAGGCTATTTGTCAGTCGATGTAGCAGCACTCCGTTGCGAGTCAGGCTATAAGATAGTCGGTGTAGCAACATTTACGCATGTTTTAAAAATGTTTTTTAGTAAAACAAAAACAAAAACACTACAAATTAAAAAAAAATTTTCTAGTCATTATTATTGCGGTTTTTTAAAAATTTTTTAAAAAACAATAAAATTTAATGTACTTCCGCATTAATTTAATTGCTTTGACATTTCGACGACAATCAAATA